GAAGAGAAAACCTACAATCAAGTAAATCATTCTCCTCTGATTTTGACAACTACGTAAATGAGCTCGCTTTGCTTGAGCTCATTATTCGCCTTTTTCGGAATAGGAAAGCATACTCACATTCCCGGAGGTCCGACTACTCGTTTCGATTGCCCGTTTTTTATTTGACCCACAGTTGAACCAGATAGCGCATTCTCGGCTATGGAAAACTCGTACTCATCAACAGCAACCTAAGCTTAATTCATTAGAGAAGGAACGTAGAGAGCACTTAAGAGATGCGCAATCACCTTGCCGTCGTCGGTTGCCGTCTCGGAAAGAGAACTTGAAGGCTTTTCTGGAGAGCCGATCAAAGTCAGTTCTTTGATAGCTGCTGAAGTTGCTCTTTCTGCCATAACCTGCAAAGAAAAGACAACATTTGGGGGACCAAGAACAGCATGGACCTCTTCACCCACCTTCACCCTGACAGGAGAGCTGAGCGCTGATGGGTTTTTAACAAACAGATATGCCTTATTTCCTGTGTAAAGTAGTTTAGGTTTGATGTCAACAACATCCGTTCGATCCAACGAGATGTTGGTGTAGGAGTTCTTGCCCTGAAATTTCCAAGTGGAACGAAATGCTAGTGAAGCTGGAAAACTCGCTTACCTTCGGACTAATTCTGAGGGAAATGGCGAGCCCCCTCACTAAATCTCCAGGATTCAGTGGAGTAGAGCTTTCTATCTTGAATGTGCCATTTTTGGTGCCTTCGAAAATGATTTCAAGCTCTGAAACGTCTTGTTTTTGTATCTCGAAAACGAATCTTTTGCAGGAAATCTACAAACAATTTACGAGTAGACGGTGGACCCATTCTCCAACACAGGACGCGTTCCCTAGACAATCACATTAGCAAACGCTTTTATGTGCTGCCCCTTCTTGATTAAATCACTTTATTTCCTAGAGTGTTGGTAAACGCTCACTGTGATTCACCTATTCCGTTTAAGGGAGGCCCATTCCCACAGGCTGATGATGACGTTCATCGCTGAAGAAGTTCGTAGAGAACCCTCCCAACTGTATAAATAAATCTCCAGACTCTCACTCATAATAAATTCCTTTAAGGCACGGTTCACAATAAAAAAGGTTACTTAGTTCTCCCTTTAGGAATACTCAGCGCCCCTCATGGGTGGTAGAAGGGACCCTCTCGCCCCCACAATCTCGGCGCTTAGGGCATAGTGAAAGCCCTGTAGCTGCCGTAATTGGCTTTTACGCCCCTCGATCGATGTCACATTAGACGAGTGTTGATCCAATACAGATTGCAACTATTCGTTCTAAGACCCACACACAAACAGCTGATCGCCAAGTGTTGAGGCGATGTTTTTCACCCATTCTTTTTTCCTCTGTCATTCTTTTTGCTGCCGCGATCCCTTGTCTAATTTCCTACTCCTAGAGGCTGAAAAAGGCTGAAAAAGGTGAGCTACTTCTGCTGTTACTAGAGTTTTTTTTCTTCACTTATGCTTATAAGTGAATGAATTTTTGCTTACCATTGTCTGTTATTCGCACCAGGACCCACACGCGCGCAGTGAAACACACTGTTTAGCTCGTCCGAACGTCCCACTCTTCTTAATTTTTCTGGTCTCATTCTCGCCCAGCCCCTTTTGAGCGGTTTTTCGAAGCCTCTTTTCACTTTGGAAACACCGATTCACGCAGTTTCTTCACCTTCATCGCACTATATTCGATCTTGTCTCCCATTTTTCATCACAATCTGGATTATTCAAAAATATCGTGAACTGTGCCTTTGAGTCTGCTCTGCACATACACGTGCGCGGCGTGTGCCCACTGTCCTTTAACTGCCATACCCTTGAATGTGCGTCCTTTAGGCTATTTCAAAATTTCATTTTGAAGAATTTCGCCGATACCGTTACTCGGTTAACCGCAAGCTTCCAAGCTCTATTTCGCCCACATTCTTTACAAGCACCCAGGCGTTATTCATATTACCTTCAGCTTCTTCGCTGGAAGATTCTGACTCCGTTGTTGATTCCGTTGTTGACTCCGTTGTTGTGCTTGTGGAAGCAGGCAACGTCGTATCATTGTCGATCTCTTCCTCCTTTGATGCTTCATCGGTGGATGAGGATGTATCAGGACCAAAAGTCGCATCAACACTATCTCTTGTCGTTTCTTCTTCGTCAGCTGAAGTACTAGACGTGCCGGAGCCTTCGGGAATGACTTCAGTCTCGCCGCCGTCTCGTTCCGCTTCTAGATCATCGTCATCATCATCGATTTGTTTCCCTTTTGAGCCTCTTCTGGGTATAGGGATCTCTGCACTTTGATCAATTAGCTTGAGCTCATGTGAATGCTCTTTGGACAGCGGCGATTCTGTTGTCATCACTGACGATGTAGTACGCGAGGGAAGCAAAGGGTTTGGTGGTTTCTTAGATACATCAGAATTCAGTGCGGTCAGTACCAGATCCTCGTCCTCATTCGAATTATCGTCTGACTCCTGCACAGATCGCAGCTCGTTAGAGACAGATTTCGAGGCAGGGACAATTGGTACGACTGGAACGACTGGAATGGCAACCGCAGGTGTCGCAGTAGTATCAACCGCAGGTGTCGCAGTAGTATCAACCGCCGCGGGTGTCGCTGTAGTACCACTTTCTGGTGTCTTCTGTGTACTGCTCTCCGATGACGTATTAGAGGTAGAGGAGCTATCCAAAACCGAATCTATTGATAGCTCTGCTGTCGTCGATACCGCAAATGGAGGGGTGGTCGTTTGGAGCAAGTCTGCTGGAGTGGTTCTTGTCGTGGTAGTACTTGACGGAGTTGTAGGTGCAGCAGTAGTAGTTTTTCGACGAGTTGTTGGAGAAAAAGAAAGAACGTCTACCCTGATGCTTGCTGTCTCCATAGAGCCATCGTCATGAGCCTGAAAAGAGAGCAGATCGCGTTCTTTGACGAAGGGGTTTCTCTAAATGGTTATTTGTTTTGTGATGGACTATCTGGCAGGAAGTGAAGGCACACCTCGATCAAAAACTTGTACGTTCCATCTTTAGTCAAGTTGTACTGCACGTAAACCTCAGGACGCTGATTTATCATGACCTTGTACTCAACGTAGTTGTCCAGCTAAAAAAATTCCAGTCTTTCACAAAGGCATTGGCAGAAGTCCAACACAATCCTGTTTTACCTCTTTTGATGTTATATTTCCAATTTCAAACCACCTCATCCTATCGAATGAGATCTTGAACACCGGGATAGGTTTGTCCTTCTTGCCCATGTAGGAAATCACCGCTAGATTTGTCGACACCTGTAAATCCCAAAATCATCGAAGGAATGAGAGTTATTCCCAACTAAAAATACTAACGGGATTTGACCCCTCAGGGACCATGAAATCGTAAGAATTATGCTCAAATTGAGGCTTGAACTGAAAGTGAGATCGGCGTGAAGTTGTCTCGAAGCTTTTCTCAGTTGTAGAAGCATCTTCGCTGAAAGAAAATTGGTTAGTTACACAACAACTCCTCCTTCAGCGAATCTCAGCAGCGTAAGCTTTTTGATGGGTTCGAGAAGAAGATCTGCTATGCATTCACTTCGATTGTTACCCTACTGTATATACATATAGTAGTGTGTGTATGTGTGTGTGCACGTATATGTGTATTTGACCGAAAACCAATGACTCCTAATCTTCCGGACCTGTATAGAACATCAGTAGCTTCCTTTCTCCTCTAAAGCGTCTAAATGTGGAATGGGTGCAGGCGATAGGCCTATTCTAACGCGAAAAGGGAAGAGCCGGGCGTCAGCAGGTTGATCCGGTTGCTTATACTTATATCTGCTAACGGTAGCAATCGCAAGTGTGTGTCAACACACAGTATGGTTCCACTACCTTTACGTGTTCTTGCCCGAGGTCTTTCCCGACGCCCCTTATATGTGACACGGATGGGGGGTACCTAATTGCGTGTGCTATTGTTATGCAATATAGCACCTTCAGATTCCACCCGAGATCCTAAAAAACCATTTCTAGCCTCTGCATCAGGACTAAGAATGCTTATCACATTCACAAGGGTGTGGTGATGCAGCGAGCTACGTCAGCGCGATAGGAAATGGAAGCGAATCGCGCTCAAACCCAGTGCCCTACTTCTTTTCGCATTGGTAAGCATAGTCAACCCCCCCCCCCCCCC